GAGAAGCCTCTGAAGGCTTCTTAAACAAATTAAAAAAAAAATGAGCAAAACCTCCCCTTAAAAAAAAAAAAAAAAAAAAAAACAATATTACACTTTACAAAGTACCAGCTTATGAAGACAATGTATTCAATAATGAAGCAGATAAGCTTGCATCAAACTACAACTTAATAAATTTTCTAAATATATGAAACAACAACATTTACAATACTTTATATATTATACAATATAACCAATATACTATTGAACAATCTACCTGATGAGCAATCAAAAATATCTGCAATGTACACATAATAATTATATGGTCATCTCAAAATTGAATAAACAACATTATTTCTTTATCTTCACAAATTAACTAAGAAGCAACCTAGCTATATCTAAATAACAACATTAACAGAACTAGCTTATATATAAACTTTACACTTAACAATAATAAATTCTTTAAAATTAAACTACAACTTAACATACTACCTACTCTTTTTTATCTTCACAACTTATACCCAGAAGCAATGATTAACAATAGCTGTATCACATGTCATATATCAGAACACTTACTATATTGGATTCTTTGTCTAAACTCTATACTTCTTACTAATTTTATTCAAGAAACAATAACAAAAACAATTACCCATATTACTGATATTACTAGCACTCAAATTAATGAACTACAAAAAATACTTTTACAACACAATTGCCTTTCTTTTAGTAACATAATTCCATAACAAACTAACATTTATACAACACTACAAGGATATATGTCTACTAGCCTTATTTCATCTATTAGACTATTTACTCAATTACAAATAGAAGCAAAAAATATTACTATAAAACTTTTATATAAGCTATTTCAAAAAGTTTATGAACAAATATGAAAACTATATAGTACAAAACTGGCACAATTAAAAAAAGATAACAACATTTTACAATATACCAAAAATTAACAAAGAAGACCTATACGAATCAACCATAATGATATATATTATGTCAACAAGCATCAATTATATAGTACAACTTGCAATCTATATGGACTATCAAGCTTAAAACACATTGATCCAAATATCTGCCTACTACTTAGTTATGCTCTATATAAAATTAATTTATAACTTGACTATTGGATACTTTACAATTACTTTACAAACAACATTTTATATTATCAAATCTAGATAAGTTTTAACTACTCTAGTAGGTTTAGATTGTAGATAAATTAGATAGATAACAGTTAGTTTCTCTCTATAGTCTAAGCTTTACTCTTGTAACAAACTTGTAATTGGAATAGATTTTGTAATTTATATCCAGAGAAGCCCTTGGAGGCATCTTTAACAAATTAATAAAGATATGAGCAAAATCTCACTTTAATTCCCTAAAAAAAAAAATTATTTAATAAAGATATAAGCATAATCTTATTTTTTTTTTTTTTGCTTTTGCTAAGACTGATATTATCAATAGCTATTGTCTTTATTTGTATTTTTTAGTTAATGCATTATATGTAATTTGTATAAGACAAGTATATAACTAGCTATATATATAACTTTTAGTTATCTATTTAAATAGTTCATTTAGAGATTTTATACTAACTATTATATCTATAATCTATCTACTTACTTTATAGAACATTAAAAAGTCTAGTTCTTATAAAATTTATCTAAACCTCAACATTTATTTTATAATATATCTTTAGTACTTTAGTATATCTCTACTTTATTTTTAGACTTCTAATTCAGATAACTTAATAAAATTGTAATCTGTTCTTTGTATATCAAATCAGTCTAATATTTTTTTCTATTAGTTTAATTTCAGTAATCTGATTAGTAATACCTCTTATCTTGAAGTTTTTGCCTGTTTGGCTCTTTCATTTTCTAGGTCTAAGCTTTATAATGATATTATTAAAAATCTATATTATAGGTCTTTTTAAATAAATTTCAGTTTTTTTAGTTTTGTAGATTTATATGATCACAAGAACTTAGCTTAGGTTTGCACTATCTGATACTGGTTAGTATTTTTCTATATAACCAAAATTATATTAATGTCTCATAACCTGCTAGTTATACTAATATAATCATAATTACAAATATCTTATCTCAATTGATTAATTGACAAAAAACTGTTGCTATAATATATAAGTATTATATAAATAATTATCTAAATTTTTATTATTAATGAGTTTTGAACTTACAACCTATCACTTAAAAGGTGACAAATTATTTATTTTACTAAAACACCATACCCTTATAATCTTACCTTAAAAAAAATAAAAAAAAATAAATTTTAAAATTAATAATTTGTAATTTAGTAATTAAAATCAAATAATTTTTATATCATTAAATTTGTCTTATCAAGATAAATCAAATGATATAAAAATTATCTGATTTTGATTACTAAAACATAAATTATCTTTGTTTAAATAAAAAAATCAGTTTTATAATTGTTTTCTTGTAAAAAATTATTATAATATGTCAAATTTGATTTTTTTACCAAGTAAATTGATCTTAATGCATTAAATAAAGTTATTTGCAATGAAAAGTTCTACATAATATAAAATTTTGATAAATTTCAAATAACTTTTTATTAATGCACTTTTTTTTTTATTTAAATGAAGATATCTCATGATCCAGTGATTAGAATCGGATGATTTTTATACTATTTGATTCGTATCGATGAGACAAATCTAATGGTATGAAAATTATCTGATTCTGATTACTGGATCACGAGATATCGCAACTGCGCCATAATACCATACTTACCTTACGTAATACGTATTAAGTTTTAAACATTTTTTTTATTTAACGTAATAACGATAATGGCAAAATTTGGCATTCAAATACAGTTATCTGTCATACGTATATGTATTGTACGTACACTTGTGCTTAAATTTATACTGTACATATAACTGATTTAATCTATGATGCCAACCTGATCAAGTATTTAAAGTCAAGTTTTTACTTGATTATGCCGAGCACTATCACTATACGTAAAAAAGGAAAGATTTATTTACAAACGCCCGTTAAGAATATTGCTAAGAATATTTATAATCATCATCATAATCAAACCTAATAAAGAAAATGTATTAGCGTTAATCAGGCCTTTGTACTGCTTTTGTCGATTCAATATCTACATATAGAAAAATCGAAGAAAATTCCAGATTAACTTCTGACTGTATTAAATCTCTAAATTTGTTAAGTCCAAATCTCCCATTTCTTGTCAAAAATAATGCAAAGTGAAATATTATTTCGAGATTTCCCTCGTTCTATTGCCCTTCGGCCGATTCAATTTGAATCTGATGGTAACCCCTACGAAAAATCAAATCCTTTATTATTATTATTTGATCAAGTAGAACAAGGTTATAACGATTCTCCATTACAATGCAATGTAAGACTTTTACGTGAATCTGTGGCTGATATAATGGACTATCGGTCACTTGGCTCGAAAGCTGTTTATGGGTGCCTTGGATTGCTTCAAGTTGAACGAGGTAATATATGTTTTTTTTTCGTAAATTTAAACGAATAAGTGTCTATTACTTACATCACTTAATTTTTAAGATATGTTCTTAGCTGTTGTAACAGAGTGCCTTCCTATTGGAGAAATTCGTCCGAATGAGTCCGTTTTTCGAATTATCGATGTAGAATTTTATTCGCTTACCAATAGTACACGGTATTCTGTTTCAACATACCCCGGCAATAGAACATCATATTATGATGATAATTTGCTCAATGATCAATTGCCACAACAATCTTACGAGCATCCATGTACACAATTAAGGAAGTTACTATCAAATGGTCACTTTTATTTTTCTTCGGATTTTGATTTAACAAAGGCTTTGAACGTTAGGTATAATTTTATAATTTTTATTCCCTTTATCCGTGTCACAAAATTTAAAATCAAATATTTTGTTAAAATCTTAGGTCAACAATATCATCGACAGATAAATATACTTATGACGATCATTTCCTATGGAATAAGTTTATGATTAATGAATTGTTGAATTTTAGATCTAAACTTAATAAATTAGAACAATTAGAAATGGACATTTGCGGTTTTTTAGTAAGTTTTCTTTTTGTACCTGAGTCGAGATTTTGTAAAGCCAGTTTTTTTTCCTCATCTGATTGCCTTAATTCAAAGGTATTAGTTATTCAAGGATATGTTGGAATGCAAGATACAATGATTGGTTCATCAAGAGCATCCTTATCACTCATATCTAAATTAAGTTATAAACGTGCTGGTAAATTTTTTTTATCTAAATTATTAATATTTACCATTAGAATTATCTAATGGCTAGTCTATTTTTACTTTTCAAGGAACAAGGTTCAATATGCGTGGGATAGACGATGACGGCAATGTTGCTAATTTTGTCGAGGTATTGATACATTTAAATAGTTAATATCTGAATCTAAATATATGTAATTGCGTTTAATAACTTTCTATGGATTTTCAGACTGAAACAATATTGCAACTTCCTGAAACTTGCTTTTCTTATATCCAAATTCGCGGAAGCATCCCAGGTATTAATATTACTAGTTATTATTATGTATATAAAGTATTACAAATTCACTATAATTCTGTCGTTTGTATTTTTATTTAGTATTCTGGGAACAGCAGGTAAGACAAGTTATTATCTCATAGTCATTTTTCTTAACTATCGTTCTAAATTCATCTAATATTTGTTTTTATTCTTCTAAGGGATTACAAGTGATGAGTCATAAAATTCAGATATCACGTGGTCCTGCAGCGACGCAACCTGCAGTCGAACGTCATTTCAATGAATTGCAGAGCAGATATGGAAATATACATATCGTAAATCTTCTTGGTGTTAAAGAGGGTGAATTTGTATTGGGCAAAGAATATAAAGATCGTATCATAGATTTAAACGGAAATGGTTTAGAAAATCGGGTATTATTTACAGATTTTGATTTTAATTCAATCTGTAAAAATGGAAATTATGAAAATATGGCGCAATTATTTAGCGTGATTGGTGAAAGAATAGAAGACTTTGCGTTTTTTGCTCTGGATATGGAATCAAACCGTCCTATATTTTATCAAAAGGGCGTTTTTAGAACTAATTGCATGGATTGGTACTTATTGCTATTGTTTATTTCTATTTTATATCGTTGTCTTAATTTGATCAAATATTTATTTTTTATTTTAATAATTGTGTTTTAAGTCTAGATAGGTAATGTCATATTCACTTTTAGTTGTCATCCGTAGAAATCTATGTTAACTCAAGATTTTGCCATTAAATTTTGTAGCTTTGTATTATCCAAAGCAAAATGGTGTATTAAATTTTGAGATTGAATCTTGAGTTGACATAGATTTTTACGCGTGAGAGTAATGTATTGTTATTTACAATGACAATAATTTCTGACACAATAGAACAAATGTAGTCCAAACTGCATTGTCAAAAGAAGCGTTGAATACATATGTTAAGCTTATGGGAAATATTTCGCAGTCTGATATTGAAAGTCTTCATTCTCGACATTCTACTTTATGGGCGGAAAATGGAGATAGTCTATCGAAAATTTATACTGGTACTGGAGCTCTCCGATCAGAATACACTCGAAGCGGAAAGGTCACATGGGCAGGTACATATTTCTTACATGTGAAATTCTGGCATCCAATAAACTAAACTTCATCATAGTATATACATTTATGTGCTAAATTGCCTTGTAGGTGTCCTGACTGATGCTACGAAGACCGTCAACAGATTTTATATCAATAACTTTCAAGACAAGTCAAAACAAGAAACTATTGATTTGCTACTTGTAAGTTATTTGTGTCAAATTGAACAAATGACACAATTCCAAGGAAATATGATTATAAATATTTTTATTGAATTTTTCTAAAGGGAAAATTGTTAAACTCCAAAGCAATCGAGATCCATGACCCAGTTAATGAGTTGATACGTGAAGATATGCTAAATAGGTAATGGCATAATACGATAGTTAACAAACATGACTATTCTTTTATAAAATATTAATATTGGTATAATATGCAGACTAAACGACTATTCTTCGAAATCTACGATAAATGTATATGTCGGTTCATACAATTTGAATGGACACCTACCGTCTGGAGAGTCCCTCTCATCCTGGTTATTTGCTTTTAATGACCGTAAGTAATGGAATTCTTGATTTTGATCATTTTGTGCAAATTAATTTATTTTATCATTTTATTTGTTTTTATTTGATAAATAGACGAACGGGAACCTCATTTATTTGTAATCGGTTTCCAGGAGATTGTCGAGTTAAAAGCGCAACAGGTAAAATACATGATTTTTTCTTTGTACATGGCCTTAAAAGATTATAAAGTACACAATAGAGTTTTAAACAAAAAAAAAAACAAATTTTTACAAATCAATTCAGATTGTTTCAGCTGATCCAGAAAAATTGTAAGTTTTGTTTCATAACATATCAGTGTAATATATCCTTTGGTAATTTGTTTATATCATTTAGGCGCATTTGGGAGAAAGAAATAAGTAAAGCCTTAAATAGTCGTCCTGGCCAGCGTTCCAATTATGTAATATTGCGGTCTGGACAGTTAGTTGGTACAGCATTAGTTATTTACGCGAGATCCGATATTGTATCCAACATACGCAATGTTGAATATGTAATGAAAAAGGTCTGAATCCTTTTTTCTCATCTCTAGTACACGAATATTTAATAATCCTTTTTTTTTTTTTGATATTGCAGACAGGTTTAGGTGGCATGGCTGGAAATAAAGGTGGCGTCGCTATTCGCCTTGATTATCATGATACGAGCATATGTTTTGTCACAGCACATTTGGCGTCTGGTAAGGAACGAATATATAACTTTTATCCATGTTAAGTTCATTGCTAATATAAAATTACATAATTATCGTGTAGGACAATCAAACCTAGAAGATAGAAATAAAGATTACCATACTATCAATGATGGATTAATATTTCGAAATGGGCGTCGCCTTTTACATCATGAGTAAGCAAATGTTAAAATACAAAAAAAAACAAAAAGAAAAACTTATTCGTTAACGACAATTTGTTTTATGATTAAGATATGTCATTTTCTTTGGAGATTTTAACTATCGCATAGATTTAGGAAATGATGAGGTGATTTTATTGACGTATATGAGTGTGATATCTACTTATGAATCTCTTGCAGTGTAGGTGACACCATTAATAATAAAATATATTATTAGTCAATTGATTTGAAATAAGTGTTATCTATATTGCAAGAGATCCTTTCTTCTAGTATAAACAATAAATATCTTATCTGATTAGGTTCGAGAGCTCATATATAAAGAAAATTTTGAAAAACTATTGGAATTTGAACAGGTAAAACAATAAATTTTTTATGTTTCAAATTTCTAATAACGAAAAATAGATTTCCAAGTATATATTTTTAAATATTATTTTTTATAGTTGACAAACCAAATAAATTACGGCCACGCATTTACTGAGTATATTGAAGGACCCATCACTTTTTTTCCTACCTATAAATATGATAATGGAAGTGATGAATATGACACTAGGTATTTGTAAAATTTCCAATCAAAGTTATTTGATCTACCGCCGCGTATTTATCATTTCTATAATATATATATATACTTTTTTTAGCGAGAAAGCCCGAACACCTGCGTGGACAGGTTAGCTTTGCTACCGTGGTATATAACGTAATTCAATCAATATTAATTCAAATTTAATTAATTTTAGACAGAATTTTATATCGAGGAAATAAAGTTAGTCTTTAGTAAATATGTACCTTCTTTGTTGCCTTTTTTGGTTCTGCCTTTGAAGTTTCTAATAAATCTTTTATTGTTTCTTTAGATCAGGCAGATCGGATATTCTAGGGCAGAATTAAGGGTTTCTGATCATCGACCGGGTAAATATTTGTTAAAATTTGTATATAGTACCAATGACGAATTCTAAAATACTTATATTCATGTTAAACTTCATAGTCATGTCATCATTCGATATAGAGGTAAGCAAATGAACTTATATGTTGTTTACATTCATCTCTCATTATTGATTTTTTTTTAGGCAATTAAATTTGACGAAGCTGCAAAAAAAAAATTACAAGGGGAGCTTTATAGTGAGAGACAAAAAATAATGTTGGGAAACGGATCTTTGATATCGGAAAATGGGGAAAAACAAACTATTCATGCTGCCATAATTAATGGTGATAGCGAACTAGAAAAACCAAATTATGATAGAAAGTTTGATAATCTATTTAATGATTACGAAGGTGATATAGCCATTACCAATGATAGTAAAATACAAAAAGAAACGGGGCCTGCAGTTGGTATCCTGATTAATGTTGATGAGAATAATAAAGAAGGATGTTCGTATTAGTTTACAATGACTTCTAGCAAGAGCCTTTTTTAAATCACACGTATTTCTTATACATATTGTTATAATTAAACTAATCCTGTTAAAAATTGGAATTCCGACTTCTCTTAGTACCTCCACCAAGTTCAGAAACATCCCAATGGTGGACAGATTATACAGGTACTTTTTATAGCTTAGTCTAATTGTCTAATATATCTATATATTTTAGCGAGAATAATTTTATCAGTTTAAAACAAATTAAATATCACAGATAAGTCATCCAATCCATCTCTGATAGTTGTAGATAAGAGTGCCATAAATCGGAAGTATAGAAATATTTCCAGCAATCCTTTTCATGAATTGAGTCCACAATTGACAAGGTCAATGTCACTGAAGCCATTGATACCATCCAAATCTTTAAAACCGGTGATAAGGCATAGTATGGGAAACATTTTGAGAAAAAATAACTTTACTGAAAATGATGATGAATTTTTAACAAAAGCACCAAAATTTGGTAATTGAATTTATAGAGCATAAAATCTTGTAAATCAAAATCTAGAATATGGGTACTATAATTTATTCTATACAATAAATTTTTAAAATTTATACTAGAGTTCTTTTAAGAATACTTATAGAGTTTGTCGTCTTTCGATTCGGAATTTATTTAATTAATAAAGACATGCATCGGATTTTGATCCGAATTTATGATAATATCTGGTTGTGCCCAGGTTGATAGTAGCTTCGATCACTTAAGAACAAAAACTATTTATAGTTGTAGAATTTCTATAGGTGTTCGAATACTTTTGTTCATTATGCGTTTAAACAAACAATGCGAGTATTGCAGACTCGACTTATATCCGAATTTAAATCCAATCCGAAGGTCAAATCCGGTTCCAAACTCTAAATACATATATTAAATTTATACTGTTTAGAATAGTATAGTGGTATTTGACTTACAATGTAAAAAATTTTACGGCAAGCTTTGCTATAAAAAAAAACCACAAGAGAATTAGTAATTTACGGTTTGATATAGTAAGGTTTAATAAAAACATTTTTTAACTCGTTAGATATCTTTCTAGCAAAGAGAATTACAGTGCAAACCATCTAATTCTAGCAAATAAAATTTTTGTAAAACCACTTTTAACCGAATAGTAATCAATTAAACTAATTTAATAATAAAATAAAACAATTTGATTACTCTATACAGCTACAGACTAAGATAGGGATAGTAAAAGTTTTACTAGAATGTTATAGTCGATATGAAAAACCTGTAAATTATTGATTCACGAATTTTTGCCTTATCGGACTTTGCCCTATAAAATTGATTAAATGACTAAATACATGAAAAGGTGATCATTAACATCTTTTTACAAATAAATTGTCTGGCTGCTCTTTAAAAAAAGAGATGATATACGTTCTAGATAGAATCCGACAAGGTGATAGTAGTAGTCAATTTACCGGTTTTCTCTTTCTGTTACTCACATGCAGTGCCATGTATAGTGTGCAAATAGAAATCGTCATAATAAAAATAATAAATTTTGTTCGAATTTTTGTATAATTGCGAAGACATTAAAAAGCATAATAAAAATTTAATAAAGCATCTCATAAACTTTAATCACTGATATAGTTATAAATTCGACAATACTCGCGTTTAAAAGTACTGTAAATATAACAAAATTTGCCTATAATAGTGAACAAAAAGATTTCATTTGATAACCAAGTCCCCTTAGCCATACACCTACAAACATACATCTCAGGTTTGTCAACCGTTGAAATATGTCCCGGATTATCACAGCCTACGAAAACAGGCATTACACCTATTTTTTTTCGGCTTCTTGGCACCGGCCCCGTACACCTAGCAAACATAAATGTTTACCACCTACCGAAATACTACAAGCATTTCTCGGTTTCTCGGGTTTCACCTAAGAAACACATGTGTTTCTTGGCTTATCGGTCTAAAGAAACACCAAAGCGTTCCTAGACTTCGATCAGGGTAGACCTGTTACATTATCAAGGTACACTCCCCTGACAGTGATCACCGGAATTTATTAGTTACAGTATGACGATCATTTTTTTTACAAGTTTTTATGATTGCAATTTCTTTTTTTTTTTTTTAAATATTAACAGTGAGGTCATACTAACCAACAAGAACTCCATTTCTATACTGATAGTTCTGTTATAAATTTGGGTACTTCTCAATGCTCTATGGGCATTGAATGGGTCCAAGTCAACAATAATTCTATACTGTATATGTTTTAGATACAAGTTAAACTTTGGTCATGCTCATTCAAATCAGAACTTACTGCTACCTTATTAGTTCTTATTACCACCCTTAGAAACTGTATTGTAAATATATATACAGACTCACAATCTGTAATTTCAAAATACCAAAACCTTTTAAATTCTTCTACTACTCTATCATATACACATACACCATATTTTTCACTTTGGAATACACTTATCAATTTTATTAACTTATACAAAATTCAAATTATCTTTCACAAAATCACTACTCATTAAGATAATATATATAATAATTTAGCTGATCAACTTGCACGTAACCATTATAATTTGTTATATCTTACTTTTATATCATATAATATTTACAACCTAGTTTATACTCTTATTTTTAAGAAGTTTTTTCTTGAACTACCAACTCGTTACAGTATTTGTACAATTTGTCATGTATATATTTATGCACTATGGATCACTCAAAACTGCTTCCTTAAATGGGAAAAAATTCTTAACCAAATTAATTAGCAAGCCACTTGGCTGTACATTAATAATAATCAAAAAATTTCAAACTTCTCACATAGCTTTCAATTATTTACTCTTAAGTTCTTTAGAATTAAAATTTTATTGGATGAACTTCCTGACCCATACACTTTACACAAATGTTATCACTCATATTCACCTACCTGTTACTAATGTTAACACACCAGCTCTCACTTTTATTGGACAACTTGCCCATCTGATCAATTATTAAATAATCTTATAAATGAATCATTACAACATACTCTTAATACCACTACTC